AACGACTTAATTACAGACTCCTAGCCTCGTTTAAATTTATTAAGTATTTTCCAAGGAACTGATTCTCTTAAACTCTCCCAGCTTCAAAAAGAAAGTAGCGATCTTCGACATGAGTTATCTTCTACAACCCTGACTCAAACAAATGGTAAATGGTAAGGAAACCTGACTATGTAACACATTTATGGGTGGGGATCCTCCGACCAAGTCGAAACGTAACTGACGCAACGTCCTCAACACGTTGCACAAAATCCCTCATCCAAGTGTTTGAGCAACCGTCAAGCTCATAACAGGACAATTTGTTGGCCCAGTATGAATAGAGATGTGATGGAATGGGCATGCTCTACAGTAGGCTGCCAGAAATCTAAGGTGTACAGACACAACACATGTCCCTTAGACTGTTTCACAGCTCCTGACTCTCATTTCGACCACGTTCATCTTGATTTGGTAGGATCCTTACCAGACTCAAATGGCTAATTTTAAATCTTGACGTGTATGGACCGTTTCACTTGATGACTAGAGGCAGTACCTATCAAGGACATTATTACTGAAACAGTGGCCCAGGCCTTCTTTGGACGATGGGTAGCAAACTTCGGCTGACTTTCAACTATTTCTACAAACCGTGGACGCCAGTCCGAACCTGGATTCTTTCGTTGTCTTACTACATTATTCGGAATCACACGATTTTAAACGATCACGTACTACCCACAAGCTAACAGATTGGTAGAACGATTTTACCAATAGTTGAATGCTCCACTTTCATCTGCGAACAAATCACGATGAACTGACACTCTTCCAATATTATCACTCGGTATTCGCATTGAATTGAAAGTTGACGTTGGATACACTGGGTCACAACCCGTATACAGAACGACACCAACTTCCAGGAGAATCCATAGATCCTTTATCTTCAATGAATGCGGATTTAAACTGCATAGATGAGCAAGCCTACAAACACCATGCGTTCAGTCAAACCTGTTTTAATTCTACTGCAGCCAACTGTTCTCATCCAACCAGCCTAAAGACTTAGTATAAGCGTCTTCGTACATCGCGATTCATCAATATACCCCTTCAAAATGGCATACTAATAACCCTTCAAAGTTCTGTATCAAAATTCTAAATAAATACTAACGGTAAGAACGGGATCAACAATAACATCAGCATTGTCCGTCTCAAAGCCGCTTACTTAGAAGGAAAACATAATTACGTTGTCATTCCTCCTAAACAATTGAACAATACACACCTAACGATTACGAGATCATTCCCGATGATTAACGAAGACGAAATTTGTTGGTATATTATATTTTATATGATCGTGCAAGGGAAATTGTCTTTTTTTAATACGCCAATATAACTGTATATTATTTTTCGATAAAAAATCCAAGAAAACGTCAAATTTTTCACGCTGTCGAATGGTATGTGCACACATTTACCGGTGTTTTCGTACATTGGGATTCCTTACAAAAGTACGAGCGTGTTCTGACATCCATTAATATCTTTATTTTTCATTTTCCCAAAAGGTTTGGAATAAAAGGAAAAACCGACGAGGAATACGATAAATCAAATCATTCATTTTGTATTATGTTTTGCTAAATGACTCCTTATATCGGAGAAAGATAACTAGATGCTGCAGGACATAGCGAGCTATCAAATAAGTATTTACTATCGGCGACGCCGTTTGGTTTCAACTTCTGGATGGTAACGTCTTACGGTCATCAATACTCCATTAGTGGGAGAGTGAACTTTAGTAGTAATTAAATAAGTAGATCTGTAAGTCTTCGACAATGATAATGGACACACCCCAGCAGACGTTCGGTCACACATTTGTACCAGATCACGAGTGGGTACGCCGTGCTACGTAATCCCTGCAACCATTAAAAGGATTAGATGATTCTCAACACATCACTTAGTGGAAGTTGTAGATTTTCTCAATCGTCTTAACCCTGATCCAATTCATATTGACTACTTGTGTATTTTCTACAGCTAGTTCACCTTATGAATTTATATACTTTTTGAACTGTATTTGCTTACAATCCTTTCGAAGCGAAAGATATCATAATACTACACAATTAAAGTGGTTATTATGACCAGTCAATGTGTATTATTTCAAACTGGAAGGTTGATGAAATAGGTTATGCACGAACAATAAACAAGAGAATGTTTGCACTGGCCAAATTAAGTAAGAACAGATAATATGAACTAAGCTGAAAGTGTTATAATGGCGCAAGAAATAATCCTGATAATTATTCTTTAAAGAGCGAATCTCTTCTACTTCTCATATCCTGAAGTCATTCACTTCCCAAACCACTACTAACTATTCATTTTTATTTTGTATAAAAGTACGTTCTCTCATCAGAACTGAATATATATATCGTCTTTTGATACTAAATTGTTTGGGGTCAGTAATCAGGTCTCGTGAACTGTTATTAGTCTCATTGAAAATTTCAAATTACATTTGACTATTCTTATGAGTTGTGAATTTCCATCAGTGCAAAATAACCACAGTTCGAAGACATTCTCAATGTGAAATTGGGACATGATATCGGTCAACCATAATAACAAGAAATGATATTCTGAATAGGTTTGTCAATAACCTGACAAACTGAACCTATGTAGTACAAATCTCATTGGAGTAGAAATTCTTATTTCCTACTTTTCGACTCTACATTCAAGTCTTACAGTCTACTAACCAACATTCTCTAACATCAATATTTCATAACTGTGAACTCAGAAAGGTGATAATCCATTGTGCTATGTTTCATTTATCGATGTTTTCAATACTGTAAGTGTAAGCTCGGCAAGTTTTAACTAACCAATCTAATGACACCACAGAAAATGTTCAACTAATGCTGACGCAACAGTTGTCGAATTTTCCCAGTGATACTATTCAAATTAGAGTTAATGAGAAGATTTCTCATGAATAATTTTCTTCACTCGTAAGTGAAAATCTTTATTCGGTCAAAATATTGACTTACCGAGTAAGTACTACAAAAACAAAATTATGCAAACACTTCTAAAAGCCTTTAAACTGTGCGGTTAGTCAGTCTGTGTGCATTCGAAATAATAAAGTGAATTCATCATAGTCTGGTCATTGAGGCTTCCAACTACCGCCTCGTTGAAATTCAGAACTGGATTTTCAGTGACATAAACACTACAGCCATCTTAAAATATTACTTGGATTCAGTAACTCAGTGGATCATTCGTTCTTTTAAAAAAGGCGCTAAATTTCAGCTTCAATGTAGTGTGGCGGACACACTCACCTGACCAGCCCGAAGTCAGACCAAACATACATCGCCGATTACACTACCAGTCATAATATAACTATTCGAAAGGAAAATTGTGTTCTATTAAAGTTTATTGATTTCCTAATTCATTTTGTAGATTCCAGTTTCACGTCTCACATATAACTAGATAAACTCCATTGATTTACGCATCATTTAGAATATTTTCGTATTCACATCATGGATACCATTCAATCTGACTGAAAATATTGTTTACCCATAGCAAACATCTACGCTATGCAAGTCCATTCTTCTTTGAAATAATGCTTTAAAGTAGGAAAATCATATGAGAGTCAAATAAATTATTTTCAATCAAACTACTAATTAACTTGTACTGATACAAATAATTAATTATTATCACTTCCAATCTTAGCACAATTTCCATATCTATGTGAGAGTCTGTGTATTTTTATTGACCTCATTAAAAATTAAGTTGGTCTATAAGAATTAATTGAACAATTATTAACATATCAACTGGTTGCTAAATCAATCCAAACTCCTTACAGGGTAATTGATTCACTGTCATAATCTCTGTTTTAATTAGTATAGAACACTGTAGAAGAACCTCATTCATTATACACTTTAAACAAGTATTAATACAACAAAGAATTCACGAGAAATAAGCACCATTCAAACAATTCGAACCCAGGACCTACTGGTTTCGCGCGCGAGCACTTAACCATTAGACCACTGAGCCGGCATCCAACGGTGTTAATGTCTAACTTCAACCAATCCACGAAGTTGCACCACCGTATACCATTGTCTTCAGTGAGCTGATATCTCACAACAGACCTGGTTGAACTCCACTGGTAACGGCTTCCCACTAGAACTCCAATTAATGTTTCAAATGTCACACTGTCATTATCTCTGTTTTAATTAGTATAGAACACTGTAGAAGAACCTCATTCATTATACTCTTTATACAAGTATTAATACAACAAAGAATTCACGAGAAATAAGCACCATCCAAACAATTAACTACGACAAATTATTAAATATCAAAAAATCAATAATCAGTTAATATTGTGATATCATCTAATATCCTTACATCGATAACTGTCAATCTAAAATCCGCTCATCTCAACATAATATAACAACACCAATCTATTCATTATTCATTTTCATCATACTAAATTATCATGTAATAAACACAACCACACCGCTCACAATTAATCACCAATCTCATTTAACTATATCATCTCACACACATCAAACATCAGTCCACCTTCAACAACTATCCCAACATCACAGTCAGTATTCCTCAAAGAAACAATCTAATCAATCAAAAGTCAGTCACATAAACACACGCTGAACACTTGAAAGTGTCCACAAAGTAATCAACAAAAGATAAATAAGTACTCGATAAAATAAAAATGCAGCAAAACAAAAGAAAAAACAAGGTTTCTGATCACAATTCTTCCACACTCGAACCAAATTGGGTAACACGGCCATGGCCGTCTGTTTATCCATAATATATGTGAGTGTGAGAGTGTACGTGTTTGTGTCCATATAAATGCATGTATGTATGTGTGTATGCATGCTTTAGCACCCTATGTGTACAATTACATAGTTGAATAGTTGTATATGCACGCATTATATACAAACACATAGGAACTCGATACAACAAACAACATACATACACAGTTAGATAGAAAGATAGAGTTAAAGCAAGGGAACGATGCGTACATTCATACAGAGGTCAACTAAGACTTCTCATTCCGCTCAGTCAATGCACTGTTCAACAAATTCCAACAAACGACGACCGTAGAATTCCGGCTTCACAGAACCACCATCAGCACCATGTTTCACTGTTTTGTAAGTTTGCGCTGTACGTTTACGCATCCCATAACGAGTTAGTATGTCGATAATAGCCACAAAATAGATCAGTGGATGAGGAGAATCTGTCAAACAACAAGGAAAACAGGATAACACAGCAATATAGTCCATATGAGTAGCAACATATTTCATCAAGATATATATATATATATGTATATATCAAAAATCTTTACTATTGAAACAATGTCTGCTGTTCACGCACTCCACTCAAACATCAGTCATTCAAACGACTTCCTTTCGATGCAAATTCATAAACCTACATCTTAAATGACGTGTACCGTGTGCATGTGTACATTTATTCAACAACAAACTGTTATGATAAACACAAATATCAGAGAACAATCGGATGAATACACACGGCAAAATATTGAATAGTCTACATCTAGAGCCTCCTCGTGTCTACCTATTATACTGGACTTTAAGGAGTGCACGAAATAGTCTCCATGCTGCTCCTATCTCATCTGTTCCCCTTTTACAACATTAACCGACCATAACTGATACCTCAATGCGATGGCCATGTTTCCTTAGTGTGATGACCCAATCGAACTGTTGGTTCGGACAATTGTTCCGCTACTACTCACTCCCCTATTCCGCACAGGTCGGTTGCAACGTCATTAAATTTATCGGGCTAATAAAAACATCCGTCGATTTCTACCGTACACCAGACTGATCCAGTCAGTCTCACTGAAAATGTTCACACTTCACTCATAGGTTTTGTAGAAACGAGAATTAATGCTCCACACACACACACACACACACAAACTTTAAACATCATGTATTTCATTGAAAAAACACAAACACAAAATATCCTCTTACCAATTGAACTTTTGATTCCATAATGTTCCAAAGTAGGATGCAATTCACCTGAGAATAATTGAGGTAGACATTCTGCACCAGGTGGACTATCCGGTGGGGTCAATTCACCTGAAACGAACAACACAGAGAATGTATACAAAGAAAACCAAACCAACTATTGAACTGCATCTTCGTCTATCTTCAAGTCTTTACATACAATTCTCATACAATCAAGCAAACATTAGTCCATCCGCGTGATGCGCAATACGATCAGCCATTATTCATGGACACACAGTACATCACCGCACATGCATGCGTTCATATCAATCCGACTCGCCACAGCTCAACTCTCATCAGCATTGTCAAAATGGAAGTAAACAAGATGAGCAACAGACAAACGGAACTACAAGTATTTTCACAAACAAGCAAACGGATCACCGAGATCCCGATATCAAGATCGACTTTTAGTCGCGTCACTCCAACATCTTCAGTCGCACAATATGATCACTCAGCTGATCACAAAGATGAATGGCCGAAACCAAGTCAGTTCAACTGCGCATTACGACCACTAAGCGAGCATCAACTACCGAGTCACCAATCAACCCCACACAGGTCACTCCAACAGTCACTGACTTCATATATCAAACAGTCTAATCACTTCGTTTACCTACCACTCCTATCTATCTATCTATCTAGTCTAATCTAATCTAATCTAGTTCTATCTAATCCATCTACCTTTCTACGTACCTTTCTTCCAATGTCAGGCATCGTTGTACGCACTGGATACACTTAGGTTGACATCAAGGCCACTTGAAATCATCAAAAGTAGAACAAGATACAAATTACCGCACGAATAATACATCAACGCACAACACATCCAGGTCATCATACTTGCACAACTACACACGCACACTGACAGGATGGAAGGTGAGAGAACCACCGAGTCATTCCACTTCAGTTGGAAGGAAATACCTCATAAGCATTGTCTATTTGGAGTGATTAGACAAATTCAGTGGAAAACATTACCAAACAACATCTTTCACCAGGAGAGATATGCACACACCCATTCCAAAATAATAATATAATAACAAAAAACAATTACCACTTCACAATAGTAATAACATCTCACTGCAATCAGTCTTAAAATGAATTCTCATCAAATGTACGTATACACATGTGCAGCATTGTTTGTTCAATCATGCACCCATCACACTAAACACACACACACACACACTCAGGAAAATCAGCTGAGAACTTCACCGTTTGCAATCAACTCATTGTACAATTCGCATAAACATACAATGTCATTTGTGGTTGATCAACATCAACCTTATTCACACAACTCCTCATCCAACAACACAAACCAGTCACACAATCAGTCAGTCGATGAAATCCAATTACAATTATAATCTTAATTAGTGCTAAGACAGAGTAGTCAGTCGAATTGAACTCTCTAACAACAAATGGAATAACACAAGAATAACAATATCACACATACTTGTAGGGACTTGTGTATTGTTCTCTGGTATACTGATCCCGTCCTCCTCTTCATCGTCATCATCACCTGTGCTCGCATTCCCAGTACCAACACCACAACTAGCAGCCTCGGCAGCTGCTGACGAGCTCAAACCAAGCACAATACTTGATCTAGCCATCGACAAACGACCACATTGCCATTGTGAGCTAAGTGTTCCAAGACCGTCACCTGCAGACACCATCCTATCATCGAAGCCTCGACTGTTAGGCTCCAACACACCACCACCAGTCCCTTCACCGTCATCACCAGCATCCTCATTGAATTAGCCAATGCAATCTCAGGATTATGCACCCCAATAAGAAGGCTGTAGTCGATCAGATTGTTCTCCTGTAAGAACTGTCATGAGGCAAAAAAAAGAAACAAACGAACACAATCACAACATTGTGCATCACTAAGTAATCCAATACATGCATGTCGAATTTCCACCACAAACCAGAGGGAGACATCAACAATCAAATGCACATCATCTCAATTCATTCACTCAATACATTGATTACCAATTCAACCAATTCCTATTCAGTATGACACAATTCAGTCGTTCGACACTCGTTACTGAGATATCATTTCATAATATACACTGCACTAATGATATAACACTGATCGCTGTTCAAATACTATCGTTGCTCATTCATATTTCGAGCAATAATCAAAAGTCACAGTTAGTTACCAAAACAAGATTATGGAAAAACTGTTTATTACTAACTCAATGATAAACTACTGTCAATTTATTATCAGAACACATAGCTCGGTCTCCATCTTTACCTACTACCATATTCTTAACACAGGAATCACTTACTCGGTCCTCCCAAAATACACCAGCAATGTTTCCAAGACACCGCAACCAAATACTAGGAACATAAGAATACTCTCTATTCTTAATGGTCGTATTTCACGACCGTAAAGTCTCCAACTCCCCTAGGTAGATCCTTCATCACCACCAACCAGGTTAAGCGCCAGACATTCGCCTTTCGTCCTCTCAACTTCGTAAATAACACCCGCGCCACGAGAAAGCAGTGAGTAGCACTTCCTTGATAGTGATTGTAAGCACGTGGCCATGTGAGAGCGTTTCGAGAGAGAGAGAGAGTGGATTCTCCCCACTCTCGGTTGTACCAGCGCATTTCGGGGTCGTCTCCATAGGTGATGTATGCTGGTAAAAACCAAACAAGCTTCTTCAATCCGTGCAAAGATTTAGTCAGACACCAACAGATTGGTGCTGATCAGACTTCGAAGATAATTGAAGTTTTCGACGCGTTCGACTACTTCACTCCCTATCCTTAGTTCAAGTGTTGAAACAGGTCAGACCTGAAAAGCAACAATTTCCATCTCAAGTAGAACAAACACATCCTAAACATCCAGGCATTGTTACTCAGTGCTACCAAAACACTCTGCATTTCATCAGCGTCTTCGTTAAACAGGACTATGTCATCTGTGTATTCTTAGTCGAAAAGTGGACCTCTTAGTAGCAGATCAATGCCCGAAAATCCAGTCGATGAGAGCGTTATTTCCATCAGTAGGTCTATGACAAGGTTGAACACAAATGGAGATAGTGGACAGACTTGATGGACACCATTTGACGTTGCGAAGTCAGATAACAGTTTGCCACAAGCTCTGACTCGACTGGTAGTGTTCGAGTAAAGAGCTTTCTCAAGGTTTTGTACTTCTGAGGTACGTTTTTCAATGACAGACACTGCCACACAACCTCCCGGTCTACAGAATCAAATGCCAGATTTAAGTCAAGAAAGACCAGCATTCCCGGACGCCGATAAGCATGTTTGTGTCCTAAAAAACCGACGAATGGTGAATATGTGGTCGATACACCCACGACCAGGTCTCAAACCAGTCTGCTTTTCTCGTGTTTGCACGTCACGAGTATTTGTTAGGAGCCCGATAATTACTGACGCTAGCATTTTAGATGTATTCAATTGAGTTTTAAACAGGTTCACATTACAACACAGCAAACCAACGTAGCACAGCCGTTATTAGCAACGTTCTAGATATCCACGTGTAACAAGGTGTATCAGAATATGTTGCACCGATCTCATGCAAATTACACACACACACACACAAATGGTAGGAGACACTCAGGATGAAATCAATTCTAATATTAATTGGACGATTCCGATTACCTCCCGTTATGATGCATCGTACACCTCTCTACTCAAACACATGTTAACCACTGCACATATATGCACAGATTGTGACAACACACATATTGGTATTCATGATAGTAATAATAGTAATGGTTGTGAAATCTCAGATGATCAATGAATGCAATCGAAAGTGTTACGCAGTATAACAAACACGATTTAGAACTAAATAAAATGTCTAGACACCTTAACTGTTTCACGACGCAGCATACGACATACAAATACCTAGATCACATTAAAAGTAAATTACAACGGTACAACAACTCTGAACACAATGTAGATCTGTGCTATTCACAAATTCAATAATTCATACGTTAGTAATGAAGATTGAAAGTGTAGGTGTAGACAGTTGTAACACATCACACCATGTGCTACAACAAAACAGTACTCCTAGTAGTGTTACCACGTCACATGTTTCCTTCATGTGATGCGTACAGATCAGCATAGAAATTGCGGAAACACAAACAACCACAACAATAAGAAGCAGAGAAGCGAACTTTTCAAGGTCTCGCTGAAATCATATTGATGAAACTATGTACACTTCATTAGCGAAAAGAAGCGAAAAAAGACAGAGTAGAAAATAAAATGTCAGGTTCATTCTCATCTTCCGATGTAATAAAAAGAACAACAGAATAATAAGAGCAAACTAATTGATAATTAAAAGACACAAAAAAGATATGACGAACTCAAAAGCTCAAATTTTCAAGAACAGACAAACAGTAGATGCACCCGGACCATCACAAACGATTTCCAGCCAAGTCATTCAAAGTATATGACCATTCGTTACAATAACCATACGGACCCTAACCAGCTAGTCTACACCAATTCACATGGCTCAGTCCAATTGTTAACAACTTCATGGACTGATGCCATGTTTCGGTTTGTTGACTTCTAACTTTCTTCCATAGTATTTCTACACCACACAATATCGTCCGTTGAGATCGGTGGTGGTTGAACACACGTAACATATGTCGCAACCACCCCAGTCGATGAAGAAAGCTAACGCAAAGTTCGGTCTCCACCTTTACCTACTACCATATTCTTAACACAGGAATCACTTACTCGGTCCTCCCAAAATACACCAGCAATGCTTCCAAGACACCTGCAACCAAATGCTAGGAACCTATGAATACCCTCTATTCTTTAATGGTCGAACGCCTCGAACAACCATTAACGCTAACATTTTGGACACTACATTAGTTAAACCGGTTCCTTTGTGATTGTCACAAGTAAAACAAAGGCCAGTTGAACTGTTCCCTAAAGTGTTCCGTCAACCGATCCAATCTCCTGCACTGAGAGTCAATAGTAATCCCAGCTTTTACCTGCCTAGTCACACTAATAGAAGGATTTTTAATACACACATCCTTGATAAGTCTGAACAGTTATCTACTGTTACCTATCGACGATGCCTTTTTCATCTCTTAGGCTTTCACTACTCACTCACCACTGCTCATAATCATACTCAATGTGCACAGTGAATACGAACATGCTCACGAGATTTGCATACACTGACACAAAATTCTCACCTCTTCTACTGCATTAAGTGATATGAAATCTACTAAGCAAATCTCCTCAGGGTTATGTACGAAGTCAATGGTTTGTCTGACGGCCAAATGTTTTACAAACGACAAATATCACCATACTATGGATTAATAATAACACATAACGATAAGCAGCATACTGTACTCTCGAATCACAATAACTGTAAATATCTTCAATAGGAAACTCCCACCAAACAACACTAAAGAAGAAAATTTCATAATTATGACACAGTAAAATCAACTAGTCACATGAAAGTGAGGGGAATAACTATGATTATGATTATGAAGAAGATTAGAGTGGTGATGAAGATGGCACAGTCGATTGTAGGAAAGTGCATCCAAGTGTGGAATTCATTGTCAAGAACAAAGTAAAACATATTCTATACATCTGTGAAATCTCGATTCTTTCTTAAGTACCGATGACATGACTACTTCAAGAGTACACAAGCACTACATGTGATCTTGTCTTATTGAAAGTAACCATTTAAATGTGAAACTGTCACACCACTACCAATCACAAACTCTACACACTTCCCAACAGAATACGAACACACGGTCAGTCAGTGTTCCTATTCATTCACTTCACAATTACGACTCATTTCCAACTGGCAGTATACACAGAATATAACTGCAAGACCTCTTCGAAAATCTGTCACATACTTAAAAAATCAATCTACACAAAACCGACAACATAATGGTAAAACAGATGCATCATGCACTCTGCCAATCAATCAATCAGTGAAGCAAGCAAGCAAGCACCTACTTGTATATCACATTCCAGAGTACTCAACATCTTCTTTTTAGACTCTTCACCAATATGCATTTTGCACAAATCTGTTAGAAAATCTGCATCTTTCAGAGTTGGCAAGGGCTTCGACTATACAAATAGTAAAAACACAGATCAATTAATACACAGTGAAGTGAAACAAGTCAATGTATGAGTGATTCACACTTACTTCGATCATTTAGTCTTGGTAGTCAATGTGATTACGCACACAAACGATTGGTGTAGCTACTTCACTTATTACTCTCCCGATCAAACAAAACTTTTCGTAACTTCATAATGAAAACCTACCCAACTTGCAAACATCGGTAACTCACACGCATCCCAGTGATTCATGTCAAACCAGACTACAACTCTTTCATAGTTGACAATATGTGAAAATATTGAAGACTGAAATATCGACGGTCAATTAAAGTTGAGAAAACTCCAACACTTTGCTAAGTAATGTCTGATATGACTACAGGGGACATTCACACTTACAGTAGAGAAGCCTTCTGAGCAAGACACATCTCGTCTTCAATAGATGTCAACATACTCAGTCGGTATCAATACTAACTTTCCAGAAGTTGTCGATTATCCTCATCAACTATCCTCAATTCATATAAAACCACACATGATCAGATGAAACATTATAACACTATCTTATATGACATCTACACGGTGGTGATGAACTCGAACGCAGATGATGTGCCCAAATTCATTTCTAAGTATCAAGTTTTTCGAGCAACAAAGTCAAACCAATTCGAGATTCTACAAGGACCGATTGACATTAAATAATGATAATAGAGTACACACAATATCATCGCTAAGAAGTCTCTCCTTTCGGCAAAACGATTAAGAGGGAAAGATTCGCAATTCCACATCAAGTGAAGAGACTGCATTTCCTCTCTGTCGTCTACAACAACAAACGACAACTCAGTCACCTCAATTGTCCTCTCTTCGAAAACACATCGCAACCTGCTGTTCACTACCTTCACACGATGCTCATCACACCAAAATATTTACCACTTTCAATAATGGTGCCAAAACAGGATACATTCTATGCTTTATTATACAAATTCAACTATTAGATTTTACTGGTAATTTGCACATTTCTACTTTGTTTACACTCAATCACTGAACAAAATAATTGGTATCACAAAAATAAAAACAAAATTAAATTCAATACACATGATAATCATTCACAATGGTGATAGATTAAAAGAATCAGAGGGAGAGACAATACTAATATTTTTGTTTAAATGCACAAATCCAAACACACGAGCACCTTGAAATGAAGCGACACAAGGAGGGGAACAATGGCGTTAAGGAGGAAACAGGTGGCGCACAAATGTTACCAAGTACACAAGAACAACGACAACAGCAACATAATACGTTGTTTAACTATAGTCGGAGAAAGATGTACACAACAATACGGCACGTACAGTGAAAGCATGATATTATGCACAACAATCATATATTCACACGAAGTTTTGTACAATGAAAATGTAGCACAGCAAATATCGTTGTTGTAAGTAGGAGATAAATAAATTCAATGTACTTATGACCATTGTGGCATTATACCAACAGTTGGCAGATAAGACTACTACGACAAGCCAACATGATGATAGCGATGATAATTACTGCCAATCATAAATTGAAACTATTTGTCACCCATTTTATACAACTGGATCAACTGAATTTATCTAACAAGAGTAACAAGAAATGTAATCGATCAGTTGAATGAGTGGCAAAATCATCAGACAGTAGCCACACACAACAACCTTAGATAACAGATAGTGTTTATGGCTAACGAGTCATCATTGAACAAATTGTCTTTGCTTCATAACAGACATCGACGCGATTCTGTATTTCACTTTCGTGTAAATAGTAAATTAGTGGTTGGTTTGAGCCTCTAAACAGACGGTCTAGTAAGAGCTCACACGACTACGTTAACATGATCCCGTTTATATCACTATAAATCTGAGTAGGAAAATTCCTATACTAACCATCTTTTCCTCACCTACACTTCACCACTCGTTAGTTTTTCAATCAACCATGACTGTGTCTACCGAGTCTGAACTGTGCCGACTAAATATCTGGCTTACTAGTCCACAAGATAATGCCATCTTCCAACTAAACCCACTGCATTCTCGACAGTCGGACAGTACCCTTAGGTAATACTCAAGATGCATGACCATAGTGTCTTACTGAAACATGGATGTAATCAATCAGATGAATTCCCATTAATCATCAGTGGTTCTCTTTTAGTTCTGACTTTTATTTCCTACGCATAAATCTATACTTGTATGTGGACTTATGACACTAACCATGCAACAATTATAGAACATTATGAATTTTAAACTCTGTAACAATTCGAAGGAATGTTTCATGTCCTTAACAAAGCCACACATGCATATAAACACATTCATAGAAAATATTCTATCTGTACAAACTCATTTCACATCATACTAATTTTAGTTATTACACACTCAATTGTCATTGGTCAATATGAATAAGACCTAGTACTACGCAATCAATAATTCTAGAATGTACCGACTATACAGCAAACACTAAAGACTAACTACGCAACAGACCGTAGACATCTTGCATCATCATTTCATTGCTCAATGTCTTCATCTTAGAAATAATCCACAAAACCATGCAGCCCATAGATAAAACCTCGTCTTCTATAAGGTCAAGTTTAGTTCAGAAAATGACTACCTTACATTCAGTCCCGAGAATGACACGTGGTAATAGAAAAGCTATTGATAACAACACCCTGAAACATTTTTAACCAAATATTCAGTCAGTAGACTTCGAGCAATCTGCAAATAGGAATCACATACAATCTCTTCATTGTACAGTACTACACTCTGTCAGACACAGGCTCCGACATCATAAGCTATTTTCTTGCTGAATAAAACTTCAAGACCTATAACATGCAAAGTAATGTCACATGCCGAGAAACATATTTCCACATACATTTAACAATATAATCTGATAATGAATAATTTCAAATTGTACAATTACATCGTATTGGAGAAGGTGAATGTCAATTAGTTAATGATAGTAGACAGTCAGACAGAAACATCCGTACTGCAATATACACATTTCCTAGTCTGTGTATTCGTCATTATATATATAGTTTGCTCACGTCTAAACAGTGTTTCTGATCGGCTTTTGGATGCAGTGTGAGTAAGTGGTTGTGTGGTTAGGTTTATAGCGCCAAGCGAATGAGATACCCTCGACACTTAAGAAAACATTATTTCCTGTGGTAATTACCATAATACAAATTTACCCACTACTACTCATACACAAGTTGTCCAAGTATTATTTAATACTTGAAATCCATAAGATATGGTCCTTGGTAGCATAGCATATCGATCAAGCCAACCACCACCACAACTATGTGTACACTATACTTACCGGGTAGAATAGATAAAAACAAAGTGTTTTCATGACACCATGTCTAGAAGTTTATCACAGCAAACATTCAACTACAACGCGTAAACATGTGTCTCAGATGTCTCGTGCTGACAACCACATAACAACAGAGAAAGCAAGTAATCACAAATCTGCCTAACACACTGAAAACAAATGCACAAACACATTCCATGCAAACACGGAAATTGACTGATATCACAGTGAAAAAGATCATGAACACAACGATGATAATGACGAAGAGAAAGAAAATGATGTCAGCTCACCTTCTCCTTTTCGTTGGCTTCACGATCCACAGCTGAGCCCTAATTACGAGGATAAGGATACAGTGTATGGACGAATAACTCAACAAGTTTTTGGGCAACACTAGGCAAAACGACACACGTTAGATGATGAGTACAGTCCAAAAACAATAGTCGAGACAGATGAATGATTACCACTACTGTTGTGTCCCGAAAAGAATAATGAGTGGTAGTTTTTTGGGATCTATTTGTGGACCAATACTACTATACGTATATTTTTATCGTACGATGTGGTCTGCTTGACCGGTATATAAACAGAGTATGTTTGAAATACATGATTCATATTGCAGAGGCTGAGATTGGCGTTCCGGACTTAACTGGCTGGGCTAGGCGGAAAGTAGGAACAATCAGAACTCTAGGCTGCTCGCGCGTGTTTTACGCATCCTTGATCCGATCGATAATTCGCTGCTTCTGATTGGCGGCTTTGGGCTATAACAACTACAGAGACAAAAACAGTAGTTAGCACCTACGTTCATGAGAAGTTACATAAGAATCCAACTAATTATGTTGATGGAGTTTTGTTCTCTGAGCTGGATGGTTTGGTCGTGGAGCTTTCATCGTTCTTCTCAACGACATCATCAGCACAAATTTCAGAGAACAAAACTCCACCAAAACAATCCACCTGAGCTACAAATCTTCTCCACTATCTCAAAACTAATTATTACTTCAAAGTTTACACCAAAAGCAGAATTATCTACACAAGGAAGGTGACCGTGTGAAAATACTATTGATAGGTCTTCATTTAAAACGCATCTGTGACTGTTTGCCAGAATATTCAAATAAGCAAACCATATAGAAATATGAAAGTTGTTTCAACAATGCGTCCAATGCACCTATAACGAGTACAACGTGTCTACCTGTATGTTTGTCTCGAAGTCAAACTCACTGTATGACAGTAAAACTAACATCTGGATAGCACAACAGCCAACGTGGGACAGGATTTATAATTGAGATCTAATGGTTGAATGCCAAACAGAAAACCCGTTGCACACAAGTTTAACCAATGTTTAATATCTTCACAACTGTGATCACTTTTCAGAACTTGGTCAGCTAGGCTCGCAGACAAAAAGTGGTTTGAAGTGTCAAGTGTTAAATATTTAGAAACAGCAACACACTTAGTCAAGGTGATTCCGTATGAGACAACACTGTGTTTATTTATGTGTATGATGGTGGGTATATAAAATGTGTAATTTGTACTATGAAGGGTAGAGTTAGTATTTCAGCTGTATGTGTGTAGATGGTGTGGAAAATGGATAGAGTTAAATGTGGTTGTTTGGAGAAACATTTCAGGCTGGATGCATGGTCAAGCCTTTTTTCCCTATTGTTGGAAGAGGGACTTAGCATCATATGCAGTGTTTCAACTGCTCTCTTCTTTCTAGCTGGAAGAGCCTTTCTACATTATCTTGACATTTTCAATATATCGATTTGGTGATTATTAGAAATAACATGTACTGCTATTCACGATATAATTTCCACGTCCTTTATCCCTACGGGATTATTATTTCTTTCGTGTGGCTTAGGTGTTCCTTGATAAGAGTCAAGATCTAACAAAAGACTCTCCAATATAGAACGCATCACATCAACACAACACAATCTGTACACACGATCTTGTCTAGATGTAAACGGGGTCTCATCTTTCATTCCAATTTAAGAGTTTCGTGGAGTATTGGTTGTTGTTTTTTTTCACAGAAAGCTTCGATTCTGTGTTTTCAAGATCATTCGTAATTCTTCAATCGCACCTTGGCGATAAGGCAAATCCACAGTACCAATAAAAAATCTTCCATTAAAACTGTCTTTTATAGATGGTTAATTTCGTTTTAATATGTTTTTAATAGTATTTATAGGACAATTGTCAGATCGTAAGTTGTTGATTATGTTGTCTTTTCCCTCCATCTTGCCCTTCATGTATACAGTTAGATTTAGATTTCCACTAGGATTTCTTTTAACGAAACAGTCCAAGAACAGTAATTCGCTATGTTCATCTTCCTTTTCGAATGTAAATTTGATGTTTGCTGAGAACGTATTTATCAGCTCAAAGAAATTTCACAGGGGAATTCTCAATGACGACAAATGTGTCATCTACATGTCTGAGCCTGATGCGTGGTCTGATGGTAATGGCAAAAGTAACCGACTAAATATGGAACATAAATAAATTAGCAACAATCCAAGACACTGAAGATCCTATGGCCACTCCACTTGTTTGTTTATTTCAAGTCCCACTGAAAGTCAACAGAGTTGAATTCAAACATAGTTTGGAGGATTTCATGATTGAACTAGTGTTTAACGAACATCACAAAAGCATGATTATTTTATCATTATATTCTACGCTTGTTCTTTATCGACTGATAATTGTTCAACATGTGAATATATACAAATAATGGAAAATACTTGTCACTGGATTTACGTATATTCAAACTGGCATCTATGAGCTCTACACTTTATTTGGAAAACACTCCAATCACCACCTACACATTGTCTCATCAGTAATATCGCAAATTTATATCGTATTATATAGAAATTATACTCATTAACGCAACAGACTTTATCACCAGTGATAAGTGAACAGGCACACAAACACTCAGAGTTCTCAATTACTTACATGATAAAGTTAAAATTACACAATTAACTATGAAACAGGGGTCCGAAAACATAACAGGATTTATGCCGTTTTGTCACTTGACAATTGCTAACTTATTTACAACCTATCTAGCTTAATTGTCTAGTCAGCCAGTCCATTGGTTAGTCTGTTAGTTGCTTAATTTATTCGCTCCTCTATGTATGACTGGTATACTCACCGAATAAAATAAACGAACAGAAACAACCACTTGTTAGGCGTTAACAGAATCATAAAACACTCTTGAAACGTTGTAAGTGTGCACAAATAGAAAATAAAGCGTTAGAAGTGTCAACATTTCATCGTTGTCCTGTGTAACAATCACAAGGAAAATAAATACGCTCACTAAAAAAGAATGTTAGTGGTCAGTAACTGATACGTTATTCACTAGTTCAAACACACTGAAGAATCTCAAGTGTATGTGAGGGATAACTTCGGAATCTACAGGACACTGACAACTAAACTGCCTTTTCTATTCCGCTACACACCCAATCACGAACACAAACGCAATCAGTCGAACGCATATACAAGGATTTTGGTTAGTTCAGTGTGAGTAGCAATAAAAAGCTACGCATAAGAGAGCAACACACTTCACACCATCAGGGTATTAAAAAGGAAACAAATCAAACGGTGAGTAGGTTGATGCATGTGTAAAGTTACAATAACATGACATACACCTGTGGTACTTTGAAACGAATGCTTTTTAATCCGTAGACGACGTTTATGCTCCTTGTTTAAAACTGTCACAGGATTGTCAATGTTGGTCTTGGAACTCGGCAATTCAGTCGACCCATGAGCGACGAAGGAATGAATACTTACAGAACGTTTCACATGATGACTTGAATACAGAATATTCTACAGGTGAAAATGTGGAAAGCACACAAAGACAAATAACTCTGCACCTATTGGAGTAAACTACACAAAGTCATACATCCATCCTCAAAAGTCACTATGTCAAACTTACTCATTCACATTTAAAAAAATTCATACACACAAAATCAACCACAACTAACTAATAATCAACAGATCGTTACCTTCAAATCATATTTCTTGTGAATCGCAAGTCTTGGGCTGAACACATTCCTCATTACTAAGATATACGACTCCTGATCATTCACTGTAAGTCGATAAAGTCCAAGAAATTGAGGAAGCAGTGTTTGGCCGTGTCCTTTGACAATGTACTACAAGAAAGAGACACATTAAAAGATAACAATCAATCAGGCGGTATGTCAATAACAAACGATAATCGAAATTCGAACCACACTGAGAGCAACACCAGTTCAACCTTTAATTGTTCGACATTCTGACATTACTGCAAAAGCAAGTTTCTTTTTCGATGCACACTGGAACCATCTGGTTGCTACAACCAAATAACAGTAGCGTTTTGTGATGAATTACGAGCAACATTTACTGACAGCCTTTACATTGCATCAGATACAACAATGCACATGACACAAGAGCTTATGGTTATGTCATAAAAAACAAATCTAACTCATGAATCTAACAAACCATTCTACCTATTCAGCATTATGTACCGTTAATTTACTCATCAAATTAAACTACACCGACAGTTCCTGGAGGTAAATACGACTCAAACAAATGCACATCTGTGTCAGCTTTTACGTTGTGTATAACTGAATAACTGACTCGCTTGTTAAATGTTTGACCTCTCCGTCAATAAGATTAGTAGATTGTCTAGAAGTGGGATAAGTACAAGCATAAGCGCCCGAACGCCCTGGTACGCCGAGGGTAGGGAGAGTTAGCTATACCTCTCAAAACGCTCCCACATGGTAACGTGCATACAACCACTACCAGGGAAATCATACTCACTGCATTCTCGTGGCGCGGGTGTTATTTAATATGTCGAGAGGATGAAAAGCGAATGTCTGGCGCCTGAACAAGGCTGGTGGACACATAGAGTCCACCTGAGGGGAGTTGGAAAACCCTCATTCCAAACCAATAGTGCACATGGGATACAGGATCCTGATGGAACAAATGACGTGGGAACCCATTGTTGATCACCGGCTACCATGGCACTGCATCTCCTTAGGTCGCTTCACCGCCTTGTGGATCAGACCTTTAGGTCGAAGGCTCCGGGTGTGGTCCCCTAAGAAAACCACCTGCTTTGGTTTGGACACACTGGCAGTATCACAGCCCACACATAAACCAAGCCTCTTCGTACCAATCTTTATGTGTTCAAATAAATAATGAATTAAAACACCCTCAACAACTCACATTTCCTCTCGTTTCTGCAAGTACAGACAACCACTCCCAATTAAAACATTCATCACTGTGATCGATTGACAAGACAAATAATAATCACACTTTAATCGAATTCGTCTTCCAAACGTCTACAAACCTCATCTTGCTACACTGCACCAACTTACTCCAAGGAAACAATCAAATCAGTTGGCCAAATGAATCGAACAAATGCTTCACTACTTACCTTCATCATCAACAAACAATAGTTGACTATAAATAGACATTCGCTTGGGCAACACTGGCAATTACCACACACAACACAATTAATATAAGCTCAAAGAGTTTCTAAGCTATCTGTAATAGGCATTATCTGCACATCTGTTGTGAAATGTGTACAGCTGAAGTTTGCGTTCAGAACAACTTTTGTAAACACTAAAATATGGTAAAAGGATAATGCACCAATCTAGGTGGGAAATACTAGGACAAGGAAGGATCCGATCATCTCATGACACTGTAAACATTGGAATAACAGAAATGTAACTAGACAATAATATTCATTGTCAACCATTTACAGATAAAATTGTACAATAATATCCATCTGCAAGAATCCAACGGATAATCATCACGTAGTTGAATCGTTTGGCGGACAATCTATAGTACTTAATCAGCTCAATAAGTAACTAGTCGATGCATTTTGTAAATCCTCAAAAATGAATGTGCTCATGTTAAGTGGATCGAAATTAAGAGAATATGTTGAAAACTTACACCAATCAGTCAGTAAATATTGGTCTCTATCACAACGTAACACTGACTTCTTATCGCCTAACTACTAGTTAACTGGCTTCTACAGGTCATCACAAATCACTCATCATGATGATAAAAGCTGATGGTAACACACTCCAACATTGATTCTGCTAACAGGAGTTTGTTCAGCTTTTAACTGAATGCACTATTACATCCCAACATAGTAATATCCGGCGACCAAAACCAGTGCTTCATTGTTGTATCAGAACAAATACCAACCAAATCATCCACTCTCCGGTTAGTATAGCAAACACTTACAGAATAATATTCTTCTAACATTTGATGCATTTGTTCAACTTCTTCTGAACTGATTGTTTTGGCTACAAATTGTCGGTTATACGTGACTAGAAATTTCGATCCAGATTTTCCACGCGTACTATCCCACAATGGTTGGTGTCTGGTGAAAGAGTCCTGAAGTACAAATCAGAAGTAGAAGAACTCTGTATACTAATGACAAATAACCAAATGTAATCTATTTATGAGAGCTGTTCGTGATGACCAGTCAAGAATTGGTCACTCTGAGTAGGAATCGACATATTCGACACCTGCAGTAAATACAGTGTTATGGAACTCTGGATTCGTCAACACTATTCCATCTAAAAGTGGATACTTACAATGCTCTAGTTTGGTTGACATTCGTCTTGCACCACATAGTGCACAACTAAATGCTAAACAATGAGAACAGTTTCCTGACTACACTCTATGCACCGATCACTTGATACAACGACCCACTTACACCATTGAGTATCTGAATACACACCCAGTACAGTTAACATATAAACCGACGAACACTAGTTGACATTCTGGCCTCTTTCATTGAATGCTTCACCAACGCGTAATGTAACTCCCATTTAAAAGGCTGCCAATTATCTGAATATATTAACTAACAAATCATATCACTCTCACCAATTCAGGCTCAATTACTGTTCATTATGTCTTTATTGTCGAGGGCAAGCATTCATTTATAATTAGCACTCAGTCAACAAATACCAAACGAACCACCAATTTCCTTTACAATCTAACAACAATACTTTTATGATGCTGAACCCAGTTAATTCAATGTTGGACACAACCAATCAATCAATTCTACATTGATATCACCAAATAATACGGCTTATACAAAAGAGCTAGGATGGAAAACGGTACAAGATAATTTTAAAACACATCACATGTTGTACTGTTGATTGATAGAAACACACAACATTCACTCAATAAAAGTAAAAGCTAGAGAATGGACATGACATTTGAAAACATATGAACGATATTAGGCATTGACAACTACATATTTGCAGGCATATTGTTGGAGAAAGGATAATAAGACAACTGTTTAATTGTTGCAAGTATTGCCTCCGTAGATAACTATAAATCCATTTCGATGATGAAAATTCATCCACACACTCACACAACTAATAATGCAACTCATGGATATGTTCTCAAAATCGAGTGCAGTTTATTGTCTGAGTGACTGGCAGGATTCTAATCCTGTACTCACCCTGGGTGGTGAGCAGATAGAAGTAGTCGAAAAGTTCGTGTATCTAGGTAGCTGCATAAGTGCTGGTGGTGGCGTGAGTGATGAGATCAATACACGTATAGTGAAAACCAGAGCGGCTTATGACAATCTGAGCCATCTTTGGTGCCTTCGTGATGTCAGTCTGGATGTAAAAGGTCGGATCTACAACGCGTCGGTGAGAGCAGTTCTGCTCTATGCTTGTGAAACTTGGCCTCTCCGAGTTGAAGATGTTAGATGACTCTCTGTGTTTGATCACCGTTGTCTCCGAAGGATTGCTGACATCCAGTGGCAACACCATGTCAGTAATGCAGAGGCTCGGCATCGTGTGTTCGGGCACAGAGATGATAATTCAATTGGTGTTACCATCTTGAAACACCGACTTCGGTGGATTGGACATGTTCTACGAATGTCGTCCCAGAGAATTACACGTCGTGCATTATTTGCCGACTCTGGGACTGGTTGGAAGAAGCGGAGAGGTGGTCAGTGTATGACATGGTGTCGTGATATGAAAGAAAGCTGTAAAGGACTGGCTTGTGTTGGTCCTTCTTGACTCCCTGGTTGGGGTCCGAGAGATGGTGCAACACAGTGGCTAGAGACGTTATCATATATGGCTCAGAATAGAAGCCAGTGGCGATCCTGCTGTAACTTTATTTTACTTTCTTCATAAAAAGTGGTTGTAACTTCCTTAACTGAAAGATTTCTTCTGGTTTTACCTTTCTGTTTCTCCCATTATTATTGTTATTTCACTACCATACACTAATTTGTGGTCGTTATTGTTTTTTTTCTTTTTACACGCATCTTACATACTTTATGTCTTCCCATTCTCATTGTTATTGCGTGGAGCATATGTATCTGGTGCCCCTTATACCAATATTTATGTGTTCAAAATAATAAATAAATAAATATTGTCTGAGCGATCCAAATACTGAATGACTATGTAAACTAGGGTAGATAGTGTGTGGTCTGAACTTACAAATTAGCAGTCAAACACTCTAATTAACTTAGCACGACCACAAATCCACTGTTGCATAGGTATATTTACAGAGAAATGACTGACAACAGTATATTACTTTAAAAAGTCAGAACTTAAAACTTAAAAGGTGAAATCAATAAGATGACGATAGCGGTGTTTGGAGATTCTCCACGTGCAAGATTTATTACAGACTAACAATCAAAGTTGTCGACTAAATCCATCACAAACAAAATGTAATTTCATAACAATTAAATACTAGACGAAACTCAGTATGTGCAAGTTATGAATCTCTAACACCATTCACAGGTAGAAAGGAGGAGATATTACCATCAACACATAAATCAGCTCTGAATCACCTACCCAATAGTCCATCTTGTCAACTCCAAATCGATCTCGTAATGACTTGAACACCATTGGACAGTACTCCTTAAACTTGAATCTACTAGGCATATTCTCCCTAGAATCACGTTCGTCAGCATAAGTCCACCATGAATACAAGAAAACTTACTTGTTAAAATGGTGGTTATTAACCTTCACTTTCATATATGCTTTGAAATCGTCTTTCAATAACAGTGCACGTTGCTTCACATGATTTAGAGCGGAAAACGAATAATTTATGCCCCACATCAGTACACTTTTTAATGGTTCATTGGCTCGAAAAAGTTTCAACTTCTGTTTCATGATCCTCACTTTCTTGTGTTTAGACACGGTGGCCATTGTTCAAAGATGACAAACGTTTGGAACGACAACTTAATGATTTAAACAGATTCTAAAAAGTCAAGGGAATGAACAGGTCAAAGTCACACATGCAATGTACCCAACTCTTAATTTATAAAAGGTAGTTTGGGTAAGGAAACTCTTATTGTAAGCTAAAAGGCATATTCCGAAAATGGAAGGGGGAAAGAAAAAGCGGTTGAAAATATATGAAGACAGATCACATAGAAAGAAAACAAATAATTGAGGCATTGTGACTAGATACGAGCCTTAAAATCCAGGAAATTTAAACAATAAACCGTACAATCAATTGGTTTAACAGTAAGCTCTACTTATTGTCCAGGAAATTAGTTTTATAGTATGGACAGCAAGCACCGTGTCTGATGAAGACTAGTATCAAATGAGATTTGTGTGGTGCGTGTGTATTTGGTGCCCCCTTGTGCCAACATCTGTGTTCAAATAATAATAATAATAAAGACTAGTAAGTTAAGAATAAACCTGTGCAAGCCACTTCAAAGAACGCCATTGACTAAAGCAAATGGTGACCAGGTAGTAACGAAGAATTTCTATCATGCAACATAAAAATCGGTGTCGTGGCCATATGACGCTAACAGACTTGGACAGCTTAAGCCCGGTAGACCTACATGCAAGCAAACCAAAATTATCATGCTTCGGCGTCTCCTAATACTTACCCGCTTCCTAATAAAAAACCTGCCATATTAGTGTAGGATAACCTTGCAGTGGTTAGGAAGAGGAATTCTGTGAGACCTAGAATTTGCAAGCGTTTCACTTTTGATGTACATCCTTCAGTCAAACTCCACTTACTCTAAGACGCAAGTCTGAAACATTTGTTGACTATTACCACAAGTGACTCCAATATTTTAGTGGGAAAACTCCTGAAAAGTAAACCATACATCAGACTCTCGAGTACGTTTTAAACACAAGAACAGCAAGTTTGTACAGGCCGCCTTACAAACTTAGGTCATTCAGTTCAACATACAGTTTACTTTAATAATGACTACCTAGTCGGCCTTCGATATCACACACATCAAGTTATTCAGCTAATTCAAAGCTCGCACTTCTGTATTTAGTAATGACAGATCACCGATATCTACTGGTAGATACCCAGGTTTATAACTTCACACTTTTCTAATCAGGCACAATTTGTTTCCTAGTCCTTTGGTCCACTTCGCTGCAAGCCTGCAGAAGTCTTTCAAGAGATTTACATTTCTTTTGAGGATTAAAGATAAAAGATGTCACCACGCGCGCTATTTAAAAAAGGACAGTGGTATTTTTCCTCGCTGAGTAAATTTCATTGTTTTGATCGTTTATTACGTATCAAGACTACTGTTTTCACTTTAATTAGATTCATTTCAGTTGAAGTATTCGACTAGAGTACAGTTTTTACCGTTCTCTCAATTAGTTTTTTCGTTGGTACTCTTGAGTACCTCATTTTCAACTGTATCTGTTAGTACTTTTGGTCCTAACAATCTACAGTTCTTCACTTGGTCATTGATTCTTTTTTGTTTCTGGGCATCATCGCATCTCGTTTCTTTTTGAAAAACCCCTTTTAAATGACTGGACAGTGTAAAAAAAAAGCAGTTACCAACATCCGGCTTGTCGTTATCCCGTTGAAAGCGGCATGCAGTGCGACGAGTGCAAAGGCTGGTACCACGAAGTTTGCACGAACTTAACCCCTGCGGCTTTCAAACGGTTCAGTAAGAAGGGTTGCGTATGGCTTTGTCAACAGTGCTGTTTGGATACAAACAGCCTGTTAACCGAGGTCATCTCACTGGTTGATGCTGCGAAGAAGTGATTTAGCAAGCGTAGTCGGAACACGTCAAACAGCACTCGATCTGTCGACACACAAATCGACATGAAGCAAACTAACGTTAGTTCGATAGTAGATGACTCACGCCGGTCGAAGAAGGAAAAGCATTCTCCATAGGGGCCTGCCTTAAGCAAAAGCTCAAGGGAAGTAGGTTATTCTGTTCTCCGTCTCCCAGATGGGATCCAACAGGAATGCCTAGAAGCCGCAATCGCAAGGCTCGATTGGTTTCAAGCGGTAAACATAACCTGACCTCTCAGGTTCATCGACAACCCCCCAGAATCCAGCACTAGATTTGACGCAACTGTTATTGCTTCCCCCAGCACCGTTGGTGAGTGGGTAAAGGTTGTAAGGAAGAAAGAAAGTAGCGATATAAAAGGTAATCCTACCCCCACGAAAGTAGTCATAAAGTCGAAAGCTGATCATAGCGACAGACCAGCTATTTTTCATAGAATCAAGGAGAGCGATAGCTCTGAACCCAAAGCTCGTTTTGAGCATGACATTGTGCTGATTAAGCAGCTGCTAAATCAACTCATGCCTCAAAATATTACCGTGGTCACCCTGCTAACGGTGTACAGACTAGGGAGTCTAGCGGACTTGAAACCAAATCATTCCAGACTGCTTAAAGTAGTATTCAACTCTTCGAAAAAACGTGACCTAATTTTACAGAATGGACACAAATTGAAGGGTTTAGGAGTCTTTATATGAAAGGACTTACCGTTGGCAGACCGCGTAAAAGACGGAAAGCCGAAAAAGAACTACAACTTAGGTTACATGCTAGCGAAAAGGATGTGAATAGTGTAAATTTTCGGGTTGTAAGGCTTCGATAGAGAATGATGCCAAAGCTACTCTGAGTGAAGCACGAAGCCACTTAAATAGGCTTCGGATCGGCTACACTAATGCCCGAAGCTTACTTAATAAGCGATCGGAACTAGGTGTACAGATTGACTCTACAAAGCCAGACATAATCGCAGTTACAAAAACCTGGCTGACACAGGCTATAGATAGTATGGAACTTGATTTCGGGGGTTTTTTGTTGGTAAGGGCCGACAGAATACAAAAGCGTAAAGAAGGGGGAGTAGCTCTATTCATTAGGAACGCTATCCCATTTGCCATTATCGACAGTGTATCACATGAGAGTGGGACGTGTGAATTAGTTAGTCTCCGCTTGAAATGCAAGGGACAAGAGCTGCTGATTGGTTTGATCTATCGCAGTTCAAGCTGTGAGGTAAATGAAGTCCTGCTAAGCAGTCTCAATACTTGGTCACAAAGTGGTCGATGTCTAATCCTAGGGGACTTTAATGCACCTATGGTAGACTGGGAAAATCTGCGAACTGAATCGTCAGAAAATTCTTCGAGCAGGAACTAGTTGATGCGGTTATCACATGTGCCTTAGTGCAACATGTGAAAGAAGCGACTAGGTACGACCCGGACACTGAATCATCCTTACTAGATCTTATACTCACTCACTATGTGGATGACGTTGCGAACCTCCATTATATGCCACCCCTAGATAAAAGTGATCACGCAGTTTTAATTTTCGACTTCCATATAACTGTCAGTCACGAGCACGCGTCAGCCCAATCCAGACCTAACGTCTGGAAAGCAAATATACCAGATATCATGCACTCAGCATCCTTAGTAGATTGGACAATAGACCTAGAGTCCTCAATTGAAGCGGCCTGGAACGCATTTCGAAATTCATACTTAAAAGTTACCACACCCCTCATCCCTTGGGCTATACCAAGGGGGCCGGGAAACTCCCCACCATGGTTCAGTAGGAAGGTCCGCATCCTTCTCCGTAAGAGAAGAAAAATGTGAGATAGATTTAGGTTACTGGGGACTGATGAAACTAAATCCTAGTATGGAAAAGTCCGGAATACCTGTGCCTCGACCCTCCGTAAGTCTAGAAGATTGTACGAAGAAAAGATTGTTAAGGAATCCATAGAATGTCCTAAACGCTTGTATTCTTATATAAACCAAAGGACAAAGAGAAAAGGAAATATTCCTGCTCTATGAGGAGACAGTACTGCCGCGTCACTAGTGGAGGACGACTTTGGTAAGGCTCAAGTGTTCTCAAACTACCTCAGCAATGTATACACCATAGAAGCACTCTTCACATCAGCGCATATAGATCCCCCACACATACACTGGATAGCGTGACCATTAAAGAACTCGATGTCTTTGGTCTACTAAATAAGCTTGACATAGGTAAATCCACGGGGCCCGATGAATTACATCCTAGGCTACTGAAGGAATTATCTAACTTCGTTGCGAACCCTTTAAGTATATGCTTTAACCTATCCGTAACGCAGGGTCGTTTACCCAAAGACTGGAAAAACGCCATAGTAAGTCCTGTCTTCAAAACAGGTACGAAACACAAACCTGAGAATTACCGCCCCGTTAGCCTAACTAGTGTGGTTGTTAAAATCTTAGAAAAGATTATTCGGAAGGAGCTGTTTAAGTATCTCGATAAAAACCGGATCCTCTCGGAGAAGCAGCACGGTTTCAGAATAGGTTACTCTTGTCTCACTAACTTATTAGTGGCTCGTGAAAGCTGGTGCGCTCTTAAGGACCAAAAGTTACCTGTAGACGTAGCCTTCATTGATTTCAGCAAAGCTTTTGACAAGGTTCCGCACAACCGGCTGTTATATAAGTTAAGAAATGTTGGGATTGGAGGCAATCTATTTATGTGGATAAAAGACTTCTTAGTTGGGCGTCAACAAAGAGTTCGGGTGAACTCAAAGTTATCTAGCTGGGGAACTGTGCTTAGTGGAGTGCCCCAGGGTACAGTTTTGGGGCCAGTGCTATTCCTCTTGTATGTAAATGACCTTCCTCGTCTCCTATCATCATCGGTCTTGCTATATGCTGACGATGTCAAGATATGGAGAACGATACGATGTGAGGCTGATAGCTTAGAACTTCAAAATGACCTGAAGAAATTATCTGAATGGTCTCAAGCCTGGCAGTTGCCGATAAATACTTCCAAGTGTGTTGTGATGCATATCGGTCATCAAGGTACAGATACATACACGATGAATAACACTGAGCTACCTGTCGTCCAGACATATAATGACTTAGGAGTTATCGTTAGCCAAGACTTAAAGACTACTGCACACTGCCGTGCAATAGCCGCCAAAGGTTTTAGAACGTTATGGTCAATACGTAAGGCTTTTAGTCATGTCGACGCTAAGACGTTTTTGACTTTGTATACAGTGTTCGTCCGTCCTAAACTTGAGTACTGCATACAAGCGGCTAGCCCCTGCTTAAAAAAGACAGTGAGCTTCTGGAAAAGGTTCAGAGAACGGCAACTAAGCTGATTCTCGGAATAGCGAAGCTTCCGTATGAAGTTCGACTGGCGAAGCTGAACCTTTTCCCGTTGTCATATCGCAGAACTAGAGGCGACTTGATTACAGTTTCAAATTGCTTAGTGATAAATTTGCACCGGATATGCCCTCATTTTTCTTGTCTTCCAAGACAGAGAATTTACGAGGACACTCCAAAAAAGTTCACAAGCGGAGAACAAATTACTTTTCAGCTGACTATCGACTTTCCCATCGAATCATCAACGAGTGGAACTCATTACCTCAGCACGTGATTGAGGCTCCACCCGTCGATTCTTTCAAAAGAAAGTTGGATCAACTGA